TGTCCTTATGTATGAAAGTTAAGTAATGGCTTTATTAAGGTCAAATTTGTTTCATATTCAACTTGTATCCCAAAACAATTTTTTTTTTGGTACTGGGGATCAAACTCGGGTCCTTGAGCTTGCAGAGCAGGCAGTGGAACCACTGAGCTAAATCCCCAGCCCCAAAAACAATTTTTTAAAAATTTGTATTTGTATTACTCCATGTGTTCGGTACATAATGATTGTATTCATCATGAGGAGTTGGTCCGTGCATATAACACATCTTAATTCTTTTCATTTCCCCCTTCCCCTCCTTCCAAAAATAATGTTTAAAAGTCTTAGCCTCATTCACCTCTTTAGTTCATTTGAGTGTGTTGTTTCCCTTGCCTTGTGTTCTACTCTTTTGGATTGGTTTATTTTGAACAGTGAATGAGCTTAGTCATTAAAATATGTGAGATATGTAATGAACAGCTGTGCATTCAACACTAAGCCTCAGTCATAAAATGTCAGGAATGTCATTCATCTTGAACACCTGCTTTCCTCAGCCCCAGAGGGATTTGATGTGTATCTTTTTTTGGGTTTGATTTTCATATATTTTTCAAATTACACAAATAAATGCATGGATTCTAAAAGTGTACTTCAGATTATCCATCCAACAGTATACCACTATTTTTAGTTGGCCGATTGAGCCGCACCTAGAGTTAGGTGTAGTGATGTACACCTATAATCTCAGCAGAGGCAGGATTGAAAGTCTGGAGGCCGGCCTTGGCAGTTTAAGTCCCACCCCCATCAAAAGCTCAGTGGTTGTGCGCATTTAGATCGCAAGCTGCAAGAAAACAAGCTACCTACACATGTAAATAGGCGCTAATAGGACCAACTGCGGTTCCTACCTAAAAGCTATGCATTGCTAAATTTCTAGTAGTCCCTCCTTCACAGAACCTCAGAAACACACAGCTGCGGAAGAAGGTAGGCACACAGGTATAGTTTTGCTGGTATAATAAACAATTTGGGCCAAGGATTTAGCTCAGTGGTTCCGCCGCCTGCCTTGCAAGCACAAGGTCCCAAGTTTGATCCCCGGTACCAAAAAAAAAAAAAAAAAGCCGGAATAAGCAATTTGGAAATAATCTGCTTAGAAATGTGGAAATGTGTCAGGGATCGTAGCTTATTGGTAAGGACAAGCTTATTGGTCAAGCGGACAATTTGAAAGTAACCTGAGTGTGTCCATTAGTGAGGAATGCTCATAAGATGCATGCTCTGTGGGCTGGAGATTGAGCTCAGTGGTTTCGCTGCCTGCTGCGCAAGTGCAAGGACCCGAGTTCGATCCCCGGTACCAAAAACACACAAAAAAGAAGATACATGTTTGTAGGGAACAGGGGAAGGGGATATTACCACAACTTCTGCAGTAAGTCCTAGTCTCCTGCGAGCCGAAGCAGCACAGGGCGAATTACAGGAAAGGTAGAAAACTGAGAAGAAGCTGAGCTTTAGGTCTGATCAGTGCTGTTCTGGGCAGCAAAGACAAAAGCCCCCTAGCTTGCAGCACTTTTTATTCAGTACCTGGGGAAACAGATATAACAAGTGAAAATGCAGAGTTCAGTACTTTGCATTGGGATAAACAAGGTGTAAAAAGACTGGGGGGCAGTGGAAATCTGAGAACAATGAGGAACTGTGCAGATGAAGATTTGGTTCCTTTCTGGCGACTTCCACAGGTGTGGTCTTGTCCTGGAGCATTACAGCATCCGGGGATCACTGAGGTCTCAGTTGTGACCCGGAGGCCAAAATGCAATTATGTCTGGAATGTCGTAGCTGGTCTAGGCAGGAGAACTAGGCCTACTCAAATGATTTTTCCCTAGAATTATATAGCATTGCTCCCAACACATGTTCTGCTCTGTCCCGAGGGAGTAAGGTGTGCTGCCTCCAGCCAGCGTGACTTGGGTGATTCCAGTTAGCAGTTCTAGTTAGCTGTCTTTAGTGGCTTTTGGGCTTAGTTGAAGACTTTCTCTTGTTAGAGTGTTTCTTTGTTTTGTTTTTTAAAAATTCTTTTATTGGGACATTTTAGGTATACAATACGTTTACATTTATCATTGGGTGGTTGTATCTATACATGATGTATCTTGGTTCTTATTTGTTAGAGTGTTTTTTATTCCGTGGGGTATACCCCATGGAGCCCACTGTGGTCCCATGACAATTTAGTCGGTCGTAATTGCCAAAACATGATTCTACCCTTAGACTCTTTCTGGAGTTAAGTATTATATAGTAGCTGGAAAACTAAGCAGATTGCATAGTCTAGCAAACTTAGTAAACCTCCCTTCTCTACTATACTAGGTGCAAGGAATATTGAAGAAGATGGACTTAGTGCCTGAATTTATTGGGAAGGTCACCAAGTGACCAAATTATTTTTATGGAATGGGACAGATGGGAGGCGAGGCCGTGGAGGAGATGTGGACAGTTGGGGCTGTGGAGTCGCTTTCCCAGGCCGGCTTGCATGTTCTCGGTAAAACCAAGGAGCTCTGATGGAACCTGGGAGTGAATGCGGACTCCAGATGAGGCTGCTTGTTTTCACTTCTCCGTGGAAGGAACCCTGAGCAAGGTCAGCAGATAGGCACAGAGCTGAGGATAGGAGGGCACAGAGGATATTCTCCTGGCTGTTATGGAAGGTCTCAAGAGTTAGAGATGTTTGGCCTGCTGCATAGCGGTGGGTGCAGAAGCAGGGCTTGTTCTGTGCTCAGCTCGTGGCTCCAGGTGGCTGGGGTGCAGGGTGTGAGGCGGGGGGTGGCTGGTTGAGGGCACAGCCTGGAGGAGCTGGTGGGAGGAAGCCGCTTTGACAGGGCAAGCTGAAGTGGGATTCGAGCAGGCCTTGCCTTCTTAGCCCTAAAGCCCTGTAGCGCTCTGCTGCCTTTGCTCTGTAAATGCAACTTCTGGCTGCCTTCCCTTGGAGTCCTGTACTTTATAAGAGAATTCTGCAGCTGCTTCTGTACCTTTCTGTGTCAGATGTGAGAGGCAAACTGATAAATTCTGGTGTGTGACGTGAACTTTGTGGTACTGACTGCTGAGTAGCTGGGGTGACCTTTATGTTAGAAAGACACCAGTTTGGATGTGAGATTCTCAACACTTTTGAAAGACTGGCAGTTACAGTACAGCTTTCATAGCTGTCATTTGGTGCTCTCATGAACCTACAGGTAGGTGACTAGAGGGTGACACAGGGCAAAGATGACACAGGCCTGAGCGACGCAGTATGAGGAGGAAGCTGTGGGTGCCAGAGCCTGCGCCGTACCAGTCTGATCTTTCCTCTGTCCTGGAGATTGCTTCCTGCTGGGTTACACGTGTAGAGAAAGTGGCTCATGTGGACTTCAAAGGGCCACAGACTTTGAGAGTGGTGAGTCATTGGTTGACAGGTATTCCTGTTTGGGGACATTGTATGGTAGAGGTCAGACTGATTTTCTGAGTCTCTAAGGTTCTGATCCCCTAAGGTAAAACTGAATATGGGCTTTATAGCCAGACTGGACTGGGGACGCTTTCTTCCCCCAGCCCTCACATGGACAACTTTTGTCATTGACTGAGTTACTTTTTTGTCCTTAATATGGGAATAATAATACCTAATAGGATTTTTCTGAGGAATGTTCAAAACAATACACATAAAGTACTTAGTATAAAGCCTGATACTTAGGTCATCGGGCAGCCTATGTTTTATTCCCATTTTTCTCCCCTTAAGGTAGAAATACCCTCTCCCCATTTTTTTTTATTGCTTCCCATACTATAATGTGCTTACTGTAGATGACATGGGATTATTTGGGTCAGTTCTACTTTCCAGTGTTCTCTTCACCTGTTCATTCTGTGGATATACTTGTCGAGCGATATGTCCTCGTTGCTAGGTTGGAAGGTACATTGATGGTGTATGACGTTTGCCTCTATCCTTTCAGGCTTCAGGCTTTATGCCACAGGCTGGGCTCAGAGACCTCAGTATAAGTTACTGTTACTGTAGGTTTTGGGTCATGTCTTATGTTGTGTCCCCCATATACACCCTTCTTCCCCAGTGGTGTTCAGGGAAGAGATGTGAGTGTGCTGTATCCTTCCCTTGTAGAGTCCATTCGGTTTAGGTCTTTGCACTGTGAAGTATTTCCACTTCTTCCAGCAAGCCCCTCAGCTGCTCTTGGTTCCTAGAGGAGCGATGCCTGTGGTCGCTTTTCTGCATTAGGGGTTGATTCTCTATGGTAGATCTACCTCTATGTCTATTTGTGGCTCCACTTGTCATCTTCTTACCTAAATTGCTATGCCTTGAGTGATGTTTGGAATGAGCGAGGGAGAGGAGTGTGGAGGCCAGCAGAAAGTTATAGTCTGTCTCATTAGAATCAGTGCCTCATTTGCTAGGCCAGACATCTGGTTTAGGGTTAGGGTATATATATATATATATATATTTTTTTTTTTTGTGCTGGGGATTGAACTTGGGACCTTGCGTATGTGAGACAGGCGGCAGAACCACGGAGCTAAATCCCTGGCCCTCAGTTAGGGTATATATGTTTACAAAGCTCCCTAGATGAGCCCAATTGGCACCTACTATAGAGAACTACTGATTGAATACTTGCAGCCACATTGCATTCTTCCTCTTTGGGTTGGATGTTTTTTTCATTTAGTTTGTCCAAAGGGGGAAGTGATACTTAACAGGTAAGACTTAGTGGATTCAGATTGTGTCAGCAAAAGTTAGAGAGTTAAGTACTTCTGAGCTTCAGTTTTACCTCATCTGAATGAAGGGAATAGCATCCACGTGTAGCCTTTGTAAAGGAAGTAGTCTCCATGAATCAGCGGGTGTGTGGGTTGTACAAGCTCAGGAAATGGTAGCTGTTGGGGATATGAACAGTGATAGTAATGACATTGTTTGCAATATAAGAATATAAAAGTGAATTTGAAGATTCTGGTTTTAACATTACTAAAATTTTTGTCTGTTGATATTTTACCATGAAGTTTAAAAAGAAAATCATGTGTCGGTTTTTAAATCTCTGTGTTTGCCTCCTCTCTTCTAAAACAAGCCATTCAGGCTCTGAAGAAGCTTCGGGCTCAGACTCCGGCAGCCAGTCGGAAAGTGAGCAAGGAAGCGACCCAGGAAGTGGACATGGCAGCGAGTCAAATAGCACTTCTGAATCTTCCGAGAGTCAGTCAGAGTCCGAGAGCGAATCTGCAGGCTCCAAATCCCAGCCAGTCCTTCCAGAAGCCAAAGAGAAGCCAGCGTCCAAGAAGGAACGGATAGCTGATGTGAAGAAGGTATCTTCATCTTCATCTTCTTCTTTTTGCTTTTTGAAACAGGGTCTGGCTGTGTAGCCCAGGCTGGCCTTGAACACACTCTGCACCCCAGGCTGGCCTGGAACTTTTGGCAGTCCTCTGGGTTCAGCCTCCTGAGTGCTGGGACTACAGGCGTGCACCACCACACCCAGTTTGAAGAAGGGATTTTGTTTGAAGTACAATACAAATGTGCCACTAGCTAAGACCAGCCAGCACTTCCTGTGAAAACTCATTACTGTAGCTTGACGGTGAAAAGCACAGCCACGTTTACTAGTACAGTACTTGTGGGTACAAATGAGAATGGCTTTCTGCTCTGCTGATTGATACAAATGATATCAGAGCCAAAAGGGAAGACTGAGCAACATGCGTCATCCACTTGTAGGTCCAAAAAAAATTTTTTTTTTTTGGTACTGGGGATCGAACTCAGGACCTTGCGCTTCCGAGGGGTGTTGGAACCACTGAGCTAAATCCCTAGCCCTGGTTTTTAACTTAAAAAATTACAAAAATATTTATACTGTGTTAATAATACGAGCAAACAACATGGACATTTAACAGCAACTCTCCTTTTGATTATGGAATGCATTTGTAAAGCTCAGTAATATATAATCATGGTTCAAGAAAGGACAGCTTTTGATAATTGAATAGTGGAAGAGAAATAGCTTGTCAAACTACTTAATAATCGATAGGCAGGTGCAGTGGTGCATGCCTGTAGTCCCAGCACTCCGGAGGCTGAGGCAGGAGGATTGTTGCAGGTTCGAGGCCAGCCTGGCCTCTGTAGTAAGACTTGTTTTTAAAAAAATCTCCAGTACATTGTTGAATGAAGTGTGAAGAGCGCAATGTCAGGGTATAAAATCTGCCTTACACAAGGTAGTGTTTTGACTTGTGTAAGTTTAAAATTTTCCTAAACTTTTTGTTGACTCTGACTGATATATATTATCTCTCAGATCTTAAATGATTTAGAAACTTACAGAAGCTATCCCAGTAAATTAAAATGCCATAAAAACCTGCAGTGAGTCATAATTTCATGGCTTGGGCAGAGGTCCAGAAAGGCATGGCAGTGGGGGTGGTTGTGGGCATCCAGACAGGCTAAAGCTCTTTGTCCTTCCTTTGCCAGATTTGCCTGATGTGTTACACATTTACTTAAATCTTCTACTTGTATTTTCTGACACTTGTTACTCCTTACTCCTCCTGCTTGTTTTTTCTTTTTTTGGTACAGGGATCAAACTCGGGACCTTGTGCTTGCGAGGGAGGTGGTGGAACCACTGAGGGAAATCCCTGGCCTACTGCTTGTGCTTTTAAAAAATTATTTTTTGAGACAGGGTCACACTATGTAGTCCAGGCTGGCCTTGAAGTCATTGTGTAGCCCAGGCTGGCCTGGAACTTGCTGGGATCCTCCTGCCTCAGCCTCCTGAGAGCTGAGATTACAGGTGTGCACCACCGCTTTTGAGAGGTTGAGCCTTTTGTCCTTTAACTGTGAGATGACTCTTAAGCATGAGGGAATCTGAGGACACAGTTACAGTTTACATGCCCGTATTGGAGTCTAGTAACAAGGCGCCTGTTCCTGGGCCATCTTGTTTCTTTGTGAGGCCTTGCTTTTCTTCAGCTCACTGAGGCATTTTTAAGTTTTTGTTAATAATGTTGTCCTCCCTTGGGTTGGTGACATTTTGTTTTTCTGGGTCAGCTCTCATCAATTTTGTCCTTTTTAGGGTCCATTTTCCATACTTTGAAGTGCAAACATTTCACTAGTCTGAGACAGTGGTTTGTCTTGTGTGTTTACGTTTCCAAATGGTTTTATGACATCGGCTACCACTTGTATCAGACCCACATTTCTAATCTTGGCTTTCAGATGTCTCTTCTGCATGCTCAACTGATATTAAACATATTTATATCAGTTTCCCATGATCCATTCAGATTCCTTTTGCTTATTTTTGATTTCATTAAAAAACACAATGTACTTAGCATTAGTTATGTCTGGGGTGGAGAGTTAAAAAATATTTCTCCTCAACTAATCCCTCCCTAAATTTAACTTTTTAAGTCACTGGTGGGGATTGTTACTACAAATCAGGTTCTAAAAGGCAAAGGGTAATTGTTGCTGGGGAATCAAAATAGGTGTGGTAGAAAAAGGAGTGGTGGTGGTTCTCACTCTGAGAGTTTCTAGCTAAATGTTAGAAGCACCTCATCTGCATGGGCCTTGTGTGATCTGGAACATAGGGATTTAAAGAAACACAAATGGGCAGGGGATGTAGCTCAGTGCCACCGCCCGCCTGGAAAGTGCAAGGTCCTGAGTTCCATCCCCGGTACTGGAGAAATAAAAAACCAGAAACTGTTGTGTAAGAAACACTCATGCCCTGGTTGCTGTTTAGTAGACTTGATGTATCTCTGCTGCCTTTAGTTTCTGAGGTGGATTCTGCAAAGTTGAAACTTGGAGCTTCAGGGAATTGAAAATTCATCACTAAATACTTTGTCTTTAGTGGAAGCAATTACTCTCTTACCTTGCCGTATTACTCAGCTATGAGTTCATAGTTCAGTGATGGGTAAGCAGGCTACCTTATAGTGTTATAGACATTAAGTAATAAAGGGGATTTTAAACTTTGTGTCGTAGGATCATAATGCCTGTTCTTTTTTTTTGTTTTTTTGTTTTGCTTTGTTTTTTGAGACAAAGTCTTGCTATGTAGTTCAGGCGGCCTTGAATCCCAGGATGACCTTGAACTCATTGTGATCCTCCTGCCTCAGCCTTCTGAGTGCTGGGATTATAGGTGTGGATGTATGGGGTTAGGGATTACCATGCGGCTGTCTGTTCTTTGTGATGGTGCTTTGTTTTCTCATAAATGAAACTAGTAGAACAACCCTTTTCATACTGAGTTACCCCCAAAAAATGTTCTGGTAATGAAAATAGTAAATGAGGGTGAAGAACAAAAAAGACTGACGCATGGTCTATTAATTTTGCAGATGTGGGAAGAATATCCTGATGTTTATGGAGTTAGGCGGTCAAACCGAAGCAGACAAGAACCATCACGATTTAATATTAAGGAAGAGGTAAGAGAAAAGTGTTTTAAGGGAGGCACTTAAGTTCCCCATCTTCCCTCATCCTTTTTGACCCTAGTGTGTATCACTGTTAACAAGATTGACTTCAGACATGGCGGTTATGACTAATGTAAGCTTTCTGTGAACAGACAGTAAGTCAAGAATTTAAGTAAAAGAAACTGATCAAAAATATCCTATAATAGTTCAGTAGAGCATTAGAATACTATTCATAACTGGCCTCAAATTTTTGTTTTTAATTTAAATTTCTTATAGTGAAATTGATTGTAGCTAGAAGTTGACTTTTTAAAAAATTTAGCTTCTAAATCGAGTTTTATTAAATGAGTAACTTGTTTGGTGAACAATTGGAATGGTTTTGGACTTATTCCTGAGAAAGGAAGGAGGAGAGAGTGCTGAATTTAGACAATGTGTCCTATTTTATTTAGTAAATTTGGTTTCCAAGATCATTTGTAGTGTGAGATAAAATTAAGTTTCCAACATATTTGGTCTCTGATTTAATTGTAAGGTTGATTAGATTGGTGCTTGCTTTCTTGTTTTGGTTTTTTGAGACAGGGTCTCACTATGTAGTTCAGGCTGGGCTTGAACTCACTATGTAGCCCGAGCTGTCCTCAAATTCGTGGTGATCCTCCTGCCTCAGCCTCCCAAGTGCTGAGATTACAGATGTGCACCACATGCCTGACAGATTGGTGATTTTTTTTTTGGTACTGGGGATCGAACTCCGGATCTTGCATTTGCGAGGCAGGTGGTGGAACCACTGATCTAGATCCCCGGCCCCAGATTGGTGATTTTTAAAACTGTAGTTATGTGCAGGGTTTGCTGGCCTGTAGAATCAGACCTCTTTCACCTTTCTCAGATTGTGTGGGTTGTCACCTCTACTAGGGTTACAGAATAGTCTGAGGAGGTGCTTGTGTCATGCTGAAATGCCCCCTTTCTACCTTCTTAGAAAGGACTCTGTGATTCTTAACTATAAAATATTCTTCATGTGAAAGTTAAATATTGATAGTTGAAGGTTAGTGAATTGGGTGTGGGTTTTTAGTAAATAGGCTTTAAAATTGAATTCACCCTAACAAATGCATTGTGTGATGTTTGATGTTGAGTGACCGCTGAGTTGGTTTGCCTTTGCTTTCCTTTTCAGTAGTGTCTCACCATACCGAACGGGGCTTGGTATAGCCAGTTACATAGTTGTATAAATCTTTCCCTCATTGTTACATGTTCATATTTTTGTAGTAGGGCATGAGACTTAACAGTAATAGTAGTTGACCATTTTGCTTACTTTTTGGGAAAAAGAGTTGTTCAAAGTTCTGTGGCCAAATTTCTTAGCCCAGTGCTACTAGTGAAGCACTTTTGGCTTATGATTGAGCTTGCTCTGTAATGGATGTCAGGAGCAGTTGGTGCCTGTGTGGCACACTACTAAACCTAGTGTTTTTATTTGGTAGTCTGTATGTGCAGCATGCAGTGTGGTCACTAGCAGTCACGGGTCGCTTTTAAAACTGACATGAATTAAAATGAAGTACAATTTAAAGTTCCAGGCTGGGGATGTAGCTTAGTGAGTGGCACAGCGCCTGCCTGGCAAGTGTGAGGCCCTGAGTTTGATTCCTGGTACCAAAAAAAAAAGTTTCCTTCCTCATTCACATTACCTGCATTGAAAGTGCTCAGTGCTCATACGTCGCCAGCGGCTACTGTATTCGATCAACACTGCAGACATAGAACATGTGTGTCACTGTAGAAAATTTCATTGGATGTTGCTATTCTGGAAGTTGAGCTGAGATGAATACTTACTGGCTTTAGAGATAACTCAGTGATGAAAGAAAGTCATTGATTTGGGGTTATTTTTGCCTTACTGGGGGTGAACCCAGCGCCTCGGTCATGCTGGGCAAGCGCTCTCCCACCATACTGCATCCCCAGCCCGAGAGAGTCTGATGTTCAAAGCAGAGAATGGTGACCTCCACCAGCTGGTGCTCCTCTGCTTCCTTGTGTCTGGAATCTCACACTGAATGTTGCTGTATTGAATAGATTGTTAACCAGGAGATGGCGCTGTCCCAAAGAACTGTGAATTAAAGTCTGTAACCGTTTCTCCCCTCACACACTGAAGGCCAGTAGCGGGTCTGAGAGTGGGAGCCCAAAACGAAGAGGCCAGAGGCAGCTGAAAAAACAGTAAGTCTTTCCTGGGGGAGATGATGAAATCTGGTAGGGTTTTGAATGTGCTCGCATTTCGGGGCCTTGACCATTGTCTTCAGTCTGTGCCTCGTCCCCGAGACGGCTTCTCTCTGCCACGAGCTCAGGTGACCCTATCCTGCCTGCTGCAGCAGCGGAGCCTGAGCCAGGTTCTCCATCTAAGCGTGGAGGCGCCCACGTGCTGGCCAGTCCCCAGCGTACTGGTCGGGCTTGCATGTTAGCATAGATAGTTTTTCTTAAAATGTGAATAAATACCAAATAGACATATATTTAGCATTATAGTTAAATAAGGCACAAATTTAAATTTTGCAGTTTTCATATTGTTTTTTTGTGTGGCTATGACCAAGTTATATTGGCTGAGCAGCCACTTTGGTATGAAATTACATATTATTGCAGGGTGTGGTGGCTCACGCCTGTAATCCCTGCATTTGGAAGGCTGAGGCAGGAGGGTTGCTGTGAGTTCGAGGCCACCCTGGGGTACATAGTGAGTTCAAGGCCAACCTGAATTACAGTGAGACCCTGTCTCAAAAAGATAAATAAAATAAAGAAACTTCATAGTCTTGTTTCCATATAATATTAACACTGTAGTTCATAAGCCAGAAAATTAATTCTTGCTCTTAATGTAAAATTACATCATAATATCCATAGTGAAAAAAATTTGTTTTGCAAAGTTATTTTCAGTATCTTTTTTTGGAGATGGTGCAGTCCCTGGTACTATAGGGATTTGATAGATCCTCTCAGAAAAATTTAGATACTCAAAACTTTGCATGCTAGTTCAGGGAATCTCATGTTAAACAATTGTCTTTGCCTTCCATGAAGAGCTCCCATTACATAGTCTCTGATTCTAAAATATCTAAGGCAAGTAATTTGAGTTTTAAAAACCCATTTCCTTATCTACAAAATAGAGTAATACTGATTCTGCCTATCTAGTTATTAGAAACTCTGCTAAGATTTTGTGACATGAGATGTAGATTATTAAAGAACTTTGCAGAAAAGTCAGGTATTTAATATTGTTCTGCCATGGTACATCTGGTTTCCATTCGTGCTTTAAATGTTTACGTAGAGTTGGAGAAATGGTATCTGTCAGCCGAGCTGGACCTCTGGCATTTTAGAAAGGTTTCCTTCTGCCTCATCCTGTGATCAAGTTGGAGACTCTGTTTCCACTGCTGCTGGTCTGATGGCCTTTGGGGATCTTTGTGAAGCATCCACGGTGACCAAACAGCCAGAAAAGAACACTGGAGTCTTAGCCAGGGCCCTCGTGCTTGAATCTAAGCAGCTGTCCTAGCCTCATGTGTGGGCATGTGACCTTCAGAACTGAGAGACTCACTCAAAGGAGGGACCATTTTCATCATTTTCATGCATCCGTACAAGGAAGGGCTTTTCTGAAACCTTGCAGATTTGGATTCACGGATTGTTTAAAAAAATTCTTAGGGGCTGGGGGTTTAGCTCAGTGGTTCCAGCGCCTGCCTGGAAAGCGCAACGTCTCAAGTCCAATCCCCGGTACCAAAAAAACAACAAAAAAAGAATTCTTAGAAGGGAACTAATTTTTTTTAACTGTGCTTGTGTTTTTGTTGTTGCTTCTCTGGGGTGGTGTTGCTGGTGATGGAACCTGACTCTGGTGTGTGCCAGCTCAGTAGGTTGTGTGCCACTGAGCGACACATTCGGCCAAAACTGATTTAAGAAAATTAATTTCTAACTTTTGAAAAGCAGGAATAAAACTTTAGTAGAAAGACAGCCTTGTGTACTGTGCTTATACTTAACAGTGATTTCCTTTTTTTTTGTCCCATTTGCTTTATGTTTTAAAATATTTTTTCCATTTGCTTTAGCATTGTAGACTCTCCATTCCCTTCTCTACCCACATAAGCACGCATATCTGAACCATTTGAGACTTAAGCTCCTTTTTAATTCCTATATAACGTTGTATAGTTCTTAAGAATAAGGGTAATTTCAACATGTTGAAGTATTTTTGTTTAATTCATATTCCAGCTTTGTCACTTGACCCATGTTGCTACCACCGTTACAGGAGTCAGTCTAGGGTTGGATGCTGTGCTTAATTTCCTTCCCTCCCTTCATCCCTTCTTTCCTCCTTCCCTCTTTCCCTTATTTCCTCGAGGCACTGGGACCTCCTACTGAGCTACATCCCCCACCCCTTTATATTTTATTTTGAGACATGGTCTTACTAAGTCTCTGAGTTGCCTAGGCTAGTCTTGAACTTGAAATCCTCCTACTTCAGCCTCCCAGAGCATTGGGATTATGGGTGTGCAGCACAGTACACTTTAGGTTCCTTTTATCTGGAAAACTTTCACAGCCTTTGCTTGGTTTATGACATTCCTGTTGTTGAAGAATGCAGTCTTACAGGGGATTATGTTCTTTAGAGAATTACAAAGAGATTAGTTTTCTAAAGTCCTAGTCATACGGGTTCGCCCTTTTGGCCGTCCTTGCGTCCTTGCCTAGCTCCAGTAGGTGTTTAAGATTGTAACTCCTGACTTTAAGTCACACAGACAAGTAAAACTGAATTTTATTTAACTCGCTCATGCTGTTTTAAGTATTGAATGATTTTTTTATGCAATGTCTGTTGATGTTATTTATATTGAGGCAGTGTCGTATGGGCTTTCTGCAGACTTACGGTCCTGTTAGTGCTAGAAGATACTGTGAGGGTTCCAGAACAATTTCTCCAACAAGAACGTTAAATATTTTAGTTTTAATACTGCCAGATTTTTTATGGGATTGTAGTTACTTATTCCTCTCCAGTGAGTCTCAAGAGTGGAGTCATTGATGAAAGACGCTCTTGCTTGGGGAGAGCTGCTGAAAGTTGAGCACATTCACGCAGCTACTTCCCCCCTTTTCCTGATCTGACTGCCTTCTAAAGAGACCAACAAGAAAAGGAGTCTTCTCCAGGCTCTTAGCGACATTTAACAGTGAGCCTTTAGGGGCCTGGGATATAGCTCAGTGGTGCTGCACCTGCCTGGCAAGTAAGGTCCTGAGTCTGATCCCCGGTACTGGGAAAAACAAACCTTAACAGTGAGCCTTTGCAGCTCTGGACCAAAGTTCAGGCTCATTGTACTTGAAAGTGGCCTTTGCTCATTACCTCTGCTCTGCAGTTGCTTAGATTTGATTTGCCCCTCTCAGGACTTGTGTTCTGCCAGCCATCTTCTCCCCACAAAATTTACTAGATCCAGTTAACTTGGATTTAGACTCCTTTCTTTTTCATGTTGCCCTAGAGCCTCACTGGCTAAATGTTGGTATTTTTCTCCTCAATTCTGAAAGTGGCAAAAATCCACTGATTTCCTCATAAAATTGCATATAAAATTCAGGTTTCTTTTGGTACATGCAAACAGTGTTTATTTATAATCATCTGTCTTAGACTCCTCTTTGGGTTTTGTTGTTGTTGTTTGTTTTTTGAGACAGGGTCTCTCCATGTAGTTCAGGCTAGTCTTGTACCCACTATGTAGCCCAGGATGGCTTCAAATTTGTGTGGATCCTCCTTCCTCAGCCTCCCAAGTGCTGGGATTACAGGTGAGTGCCATCATGGCCAGCTTAGACTCCTCTTTGTAGTCAGAATTTTAAACCATGGCTTAGTTGGGGTAGTGGGAATCTTCTAAACCTCGGTGTTTTGAAGAAGCCAGCAGGGTAGGAAAGTGGACATGTTTGAGAGCCTTGTGCCTCTGTAGGATCAGGAAGTAATCTCTTCATAGGGCTAATCTTTCACTTCACCCTTTCTACAGGGTGATTTAATGTTGCTGATTCTTCTTTTCTTGTTCATGGAAATTACAACGTAAAGTAATGCAGCAGCCAGTTTCAAACACAGACAACATCCACTCAGACCTTTATACCTCCAGTTGTCTGGGAGCTCCCAGGATTGGCCGGCTGGAGGTTTGCTGTAGGGACGAACAACTTACTCTTGCTGGCTTTCAGTTTCCTTCTGGGAGGAGAGCTGAAGACCAGTTGCTTTGCCAAGGTTTGTTTTTTTCCTCTCATTCTTATGTTGGGAGATTCGGAGTCCTTCTGGTTGTCTGTAAGTTAGTGGCTCTGAGTGGAGAGCTGTACCTCAACACACATCCTGTTCAGTGTTTGGCCCCCTTTTAGTCTCCTTGTCTTGGAGAAGTGGACCTACTGGTGGCTGTGGTTTAGATTCTCACTTCCTGGAGGAGACATGTAAATTAGAACTAGTCCTTGACCTGGGGTCCGTCTCACCTGATCTGTGCTCTTGAGTCTTAATTGTTCCTATTCTTTCAAGCTGCTTTCTTGTGAAATCTCTTGTTTGTCTAGTGTGGCAACGAGCTCCATCTGAGGGGAAAACGTGGTCCAGTGGAGAAGGTAGACCCCAAGTGCCAGTCTCAGAGTTGCTGGGAACATTTTCCGTCCTGCAGATCACCTTCTGTAACTTGGATATTTTAGCAGACATTTATTTTGTTAGGCTCTAAGGAAGCAGAATAAGACAGGTACCCAGAATGGTTAGATAGCAGGTCTTTGTTTTGTTTTGTTTTTTTAAAACATTTTTATTTATTTTTTATTTTTTTTATTTTTTTGGTACCGGGGATCGAACTCGGGACCTTGTGCTTGCGAGGCAGGCGCTGGAACCACTGAGCTAAATCCCCGGCCACGGGTCTTTGTTTTAAAGAGAGACTGATGGGTATTAATTGATAACAGGTCTTACTGTCTTTGGAGTCTTCTTCCAAAAGTACCCTGCCTGTCTGACACACTGATACGGTTCATTCCTTAATTAGTGTATTTCTTAACAAAGGAGCATTTCTTGCTAAGCTCTGGTAAAGACGTGAACAAAAAAGATGTGGCATGCAAGAAGTCGTCTTCCACTAGAGAAATGGATGTGTGTACATAATACAAGTACCAATCCTATGCCAGTTCAGTTGTACATACGGTAATTCATGCAACTTTTAGGAAAAGTCTCAGGAATCTGTAGCTCAGCCCCCTTCTTGGAACAAGCTTTCACTATTGCTGTTAGTTTTTGGTACCAGGGATCAAACTCAGGACCTTGTGCTTGTGAGGCAGGCGCAGTGCTGCTGAGCTAAATCCCCGGTCCCATTCACTATTATTTTGACCTATTCTCTTATGAAGAGTATTGATTTGACTTTTCAGTTCTGTAATACTTGTCTTTAACATGACCTTATTTTCTACAAAGGGACCAGAGGCACAGTGGTTATTGTTTTGTTTACAGAGAAAATTGCAGGCATTGCCTGCCAGTTTTTTCTAGGTATTTAGTAGCTATTAAATATCCTTTTCTTACCTCCCTACAATTGAGAAATGAGCTAGGTCCCTGAGATAACTTGTTTGTTCTTTAGGAGGACACCTGTAGATTATGGCTTGCTTTTTTTTTTTGGTACTGGGGATCGAACTCAGGACCTTGCGCTTATGAGGCAGGTGCCAGAACCACTGAGCTAAATCCCCGCCCCAATTATGGCTTTTTAAGACCTTTAAAATCTCAAGGAGTGAAAAAATACTCATCTTATGTAATAATTATTAAAAACCACACCATTACCCGAACAGACTATTTAGTGGTAGGTTTGTAATTGAAAAACAATTTCAGGACTATTTCTATTTTATTTTATTTCTTTTTGAGATGGTCTCATTTTGTAGTTCAGCCTGGCCTTGAGCTCATGGCAATCCTCCTGCCTCAGGCTGCCAAGTGTATTTCTTTAAATATATTCTAAAGCCTTAAAATATTTCATATAATGGTTCTTACTCAGTTCATAACTGTTAATCAACATCTTATGTGGGTTTGTTAAAATTCACAGTTTTATTCCTCACCTGAGACCTCCTTAATCTGAAACACTATGACTGGGGCCCAGCAGTCTTTTTAAGAATCCCTTCAGGGGTTCTTATTCATGCTGAAATTTGGGGCCACTGGTTTGGTATTATAGCTTCAGTCTTGTCCAGGTCACAGTAGGAAATCAAAAAGGAATTTGAGAAACTTTAATAGCATTTTCCCCCTAGAAAAAAATGGTTTGAAAAATACATCCATAGTTTCCCTTTATATGTGCTTCATTACCAGAGATAAAACAGGAATAGACACTGTGAAATCCAATTAAACTTTGAAAATAAATCTAGCAGTTGTTAAACGTGCATGCTGTGCATTTCAGATGAACAGATTGCAGTTCGTTTTGTCAGATGGTTTAATTTGAAGAATTCTTTTAGAAGTTATTTTGTTTTGATTTTGATTGCAGAGAAAAATGGAAACGGGAGCCCTCAGAAGACGAACGGGAACAAGGCACCAGTGCGGAGAGCGAAGCTGAGCACAAAAAAGTGAAAGCCAGAAGACCTGTGCCCAAAAGGTGCACTGTTTGCCTCAGAGCCCATCTGCCGGCTGGGTGTGGCAGGGAGCTGTCAGGTTGGAGCGGGCGGATGGTAGAATGAGCTGTGCTTCTGGGTCTGGGCCTGGGCCCCGTGCTCACTTAGTGCTGGCCTGTACTGCACCGGCTGATCCCTGTCTGTGGGCGTTGGCACGGAGGGGCGCCCACGGCCGCTCTGACTGCTCCTTCTCGCACCACTTCCTCACTGCCAGTTATGGGAGTGCTGTGTGTGAGCACGCTTTAAAAATGCCCGTGTTGGCCAGGGTGTGCATGCTTTTTTGGGAGATTTTGTGTTTGGTGGTACCGGGGATTGAACACTGGGCATTCACCCTGAGCTCTGTCTCTAGCCCTTTTTAATTTTTTTAAGACAGGGGTCTCACTAAATCAAAGAGTTGCCTGGGGTGGGCTGGGCTTAAAGTTGCGATCCCCCTGCCTCAGCCTTCTAGAGTGTTGCATTACAGGTGTGCCACCACCATGCCCAGCTGGGAGTTCCGATTCCTTTTTTTTGACATAGACTTTCTTCCATTTTAACTTTCTTTACAATTTTCATTTTTTTGGTACTGGGGATCGAACGCGAGACCTTGTTTTTGCCCTTGCCAGGCAGGTGGTGGCACCACTGAGCTACATCCCTGGCCCTCATTTTTTAACTACTGTGTTTGTAGTACATAATAGTTGCTTTGTGTACATAACACATTTTAACCCTTTTTTTGCACTTGATCTTAGCCAAAAGGCCGAGAAATGATTTTAATTCTTTATTTTTACCCTCTTCCCTTCCCTCCATCTCTCGTCCCCCTTGTGCTGCTATAACATGAGCATGCGTGTATCACTGTGGCATGAAGTCTTTTAACTCTTACGGGAAGATACCTAGAAGGGGAATATCTGGGTCAAATGGAATTTCTAGTATTAGTGTTTTGAGGAATCTCCGTACTGATTTCTAGAGTGGTTGTACTAATTTACATTTCCACCAACAATGCAGAAAGGGCCCCCCAAGCCTATCCAGCATTTGTTATCCCCTTTGTTTTTCCTTTCCCCTCCCCTCTCCTCCCCTCCCCTTGGTTTTTGAACCAGGTATGTAGTACAGGCTTGCAGCAGTCCTCCTGCCTACATCGCCTCCTGAGTGCTGGAATTGCACGCGTGCAGCACCATGGCCAGCTACATTCTTGATTTCTTGATGATAGCCATTCTTGAGAGCTTGTTGGAAGGTTCTAGCAGGGCAGTGCAGCTACTTGAATGCCCTTGACTGTGGAAAGGGTCCTTCTCTATTGGAGGTGATCATCTTCTTGGACCAAGCGCAGAGCTTTGGGAGGGATGCACAGGGGGCAGTGAGGTAGGAAGGGGCCACCTGTCCAGCCAGCCAGACCAGCTGCATGGACGTCACAGCCAGTCACCCTCGCATCCGGTGGCAGCTGCTCTTTCTGGAGTGAGGTCGAGACTCAGTGTTGTTTAAATTTGCACTTCTCTAGTGGCCAGTGATATTGAACATTTTTTCATGTATTTCTTGGCTGTGTGAACAACTTCTGAGAAGTGTCGGTTCATTTCAGTTTCCCAGTTTTTGATTGTGTCTTTAACTTTTGGGACGTTTAATTCTTTTGAATTCTTCATTTTCTAGGTATGAGTCCTCTGAGGAAGCGCTGGAAAAATATTTCCAGTTCTGTATTTTGTCTCTTCATCCTTGGTGGTTCCCTGCTGTGCAGAAGCCTTTTGAATCGACAGTGATCCCATTTGTTTACTCTTCGCGTTGCTCCCTGTGACTAGGGTTCTGATTAGAACGTCCCTATGCCTGTGTGCTAGGGCTTTTTACCCGTTCTGTCTTCCAGGAGATTGTTTCCGCTTTAACATTGTTTCAGGGGGCATTTGAGACACGGTCTCGGAATGTAGTACAGGCTGGCCTTGAACTCAGTATGAAGCCAAGGGTGTCCTCGTACTTGTGGCAATCTTCCTGCCTCAGCCTCCCAAGGGCTGAGATTATAAGCATGTGCCACCACATCTCTGGCTGTTTTAGATCTGAGCATCTAGATCTTCGATCCATTTTTAGTTATTTTAGTACATGGTGAGATATATGGGTATATCTTCAATCTTGTGCAGGTGGATAGCTAGTTTCCTCAGCACATTTATTAAAGAGGCTGTCTTTCTTCCACTGTTTGTTTTTGGCTTTTTTTTGTCAAAGATGAGATGGCTGACTGTGCCTGGGGTTGTTTCCACATCTTGTGCTCTGTTCCACTGATCGACGTGTCTTTTTTTGTGCCTTTACCATGATGTTTTGGGGAGATCTAATTCTTAAAGTTTAAAATGGTGTTTGAGCTGAATGTGGTAGTCCATGCCTATAATCCAGCACTCAGGCAACTGAGGCAGGAAGGATTGCCCCAGGTTTGAGCCCAGCCTGGGCTACGTAGTTGAGTTCAAGGCCACCCTGGACCACATAGGAAAACCCCATCTCAGAAAACTAAAAACTAAAACAATACCAAAAAACCCCAACACTGGTACTGCAAACACATCCTAATGAAAATTAAAACAAAACAAAAAAATACTGGCTGATTTAAAAGTATACTTAGCTTTATTACCTTATTCAAATTATGTAACTTTTAAGTAGAGCATCTAAATGTATAGAGAAGGAGCTAGGCTGAGGTGGCAGCAGATATTGGTAATTTTTGATCAGATGAATGATTACCTAAGGTACTGATGACTGTCAGGCCCCAGGAAGGTTTACCTCCTTGCAGTATTGATTATGGTGCCGGAGGGGGGAATCATATGTAAGCTATGTCTTTGGGCCCGATCCTACCTTCCATCTATGTATTTTTATTTTTTTGGTACTGGGACTCAAACTTAAGGACTCACACTTGCCAGGCAGACACTGCACTGCGGAGCTACATTCCCAGCCCTACCATCTATTTTTATATGGTCTGAGAGCCAGTAATAGCTTTTATTGATGAACATTTATATTTATAGTTTGATGGTGGCATTACATTTGAGAATCCCTACTAAGTGTTCTATCAAAAAATTCTTTTCTCATTAGATACCACAAAAATATGTACTCAGTTTATTTTGAATTTTGTCAGTAAAGTTTTTGTGAACTTACCTCTTTTCTTTATTATATAAATACCCATATTATGGCCAAGTTTTGCCTCTTGGTTGGCAAAGCCCAAAATATTTACTCTTTGGCTATTCCTAGAAGTTTTCAGCCCTTGGGCTAGATCAGTGATGGCGAACCTTTAGAGCCTTCAGTGGTACAGCCAGCCTGTTCTGGCACATGTGCCATAGAGTCGTCACCACTAGCCTAGGGCATTGTGTCTTCAGGGATGTGTATCAGTGAGTTTTGTTTTCCCTCTGAGTTCAAGCTTTCAAGATAGAAGTGTCACTGTGCTTCTGTCTTCTAGAGTTTTACTCATTATTTCCTGAGTCCTCGGTCATCTGTGTAGGGTTGCTTGTGGTAGCAATGAGAGACAGATTAATGTGATTGTGAATTTCTGCCTTTCCTACTACTTCATTCACCTTTTTATTAGTAGTATTTGATGATTTCCTTATGTGAACTTCTGCACTGTGGCTTTTAGTCCTGGCTGTGCATGGGAATCATGCCAGGGGCCAGTAGACTTGTGGTAACCATGGCCTCTTAAGTGACCTTCCAGGTACATTTTGTGCACATCAAGAAAATCGTAGTCCTTTGTTTCATTTCTTTTAAAACAGATGCCAGCTGGGCATGGTGGCACATACCTGTAATCCTTGCACTCATGAGGCTGAGGCAGAAAGATCATGAATTCAAGGCCAGCTACATAGTGAGATTGAGGCCAGCTGAACTACATAGTGAAACCTTGTTTCCAAAAATCCAAAGGAAAATAAAACAAAAAATACCCACCAAAAACCAATAGATGCCAGCATTCTCTGTGTTTCTTTTTTATCTTGGGAATCTTACCATTGCCCAGAAACTTCATTTTTGTTTTTTTGTGACCATACAGGAATATGTTTAGTTATCAGATGATGAATATTGAGTTTCCAGCTATAGTGAATACCTTATTATGTCTGTCTAGATATATTATCTGTGAGATTAATTTCTACAAGTAAAGTTTTTATATTTTTAAGTTAGATGAGTATTACCAGTTGCCCATCAAAGAGATACATACTCTCAGCAAGATACTGCATGAGCTTTTGCGTGTTGGGTGGCCCTGATCGACAGTGGAAAGCCACTTACTGTCTCTCCTATAAATGGTGGAGGAGTTTCAGCATAGCATCACAAATGCAGATGTCTGGTAAAGGGAAGCAGGAATATGCATTTTTAATGTTACTCAGAAGAATCTTATTTATATATCACCATTACATAGATTTTAAGTAGATACCAAATGATAAAACCTTTGCCATATTTTCTCTTATTTTAGAACAGTGCCCAAACCTCGTGTTAAAAAGCAGCCTAAGATCCAGCGTGGAAAAAGAAAAAAGCAAGATTCTTCTGATGATGACGATGAAGATGATGAAGCTCCCAAAAGGCAGACGCGTCGGAGGGCGGCTAAAAATGTCAGGTGATTTTGTGTCCCCGGAGCTCTGCATTGGTGGGAGAGTCGCAGTGGTGTCAGAATTTAGTTTTGAAAAGGTGAAGGTTATGCATTTGCTAGGTGAAAATAACAACCTATGTACTACAGTGTCTTTCAGAAATCTGGTCAGCCTTCTTGGAAGAAGAATGGTGTTGAGCCAAGTGAAATAGCCCGCTAGTAGCAGTTAGTAGTAGAAGTAGGCAAAGTAGAAGCAGCTCGTTTCAGACTGCTTCAAGTTCATGTCCTTTCTTAATGGTATTATTCTAATTTTATAATTCTTTTTTTTTTTTTTTTTTGGTACCGGAAATTGAACTCGGGACCTTGTGCTTGCAAGGCAGGTGGCAGCATCACTAAGCTAAATCCCCAGCCCCCTAATTTTATAATTCTTTAAGGGAAAATGTTTGCATTATATTCTCACTTTAGAATTATTCTTCTGAATCCTACAGATTTTTCTGAGGTCCAGTTCATGTATTGATATTTGATTATAATAATTTTATGAAACAGTAATAGACTATGAAGCATTAACAGTGAAATAGATGTATTCAAAAATTAATATTTTACCTGATTGAAATTAAAAGACATTTAATTTTCTAATGTAGCATGTGCAGATTTCTTTTGATCTACTTGGAAATGGTGAAACTGAATTCTAGATATATTAATTACTTGTCCATTGTAGTCCGTTAAGAACTACAAACTAGGACTAGGCTTTAACCATGCTGGTGTGTTAGCACATTTTCTTATTAAATGTATATAATCCCAAATTAAGTTTTTCTTTTTTAGACTCCCAAACTTTTGTTGTTAATATATTATGAAAGGTTATAGTTTATGTTTTATTACTGGAAGTACATTTGTGAAAATTCCCAGTAGTTTGGTAATACTTAAATTTCATCATCTTGTTATTGGGAGACAAAATATAGAGTTGAAACATTTAATCTTCCCTTTTGTTGAAAGCAGCAATTTTTCCTTTCATTATTTCTTTTCTTCTTTGGAGTAGTTTCCTTGTTTACATAGTAATGAGGTGGTACTAAAAAATGATATATATATATTTTTTTGTACTGAGGATCGAACTCGGGTCCTTGCACTTGTGCAGCAGGCAGCCAAACCACTGAGCTAAATTCCCTGGCCCTCTAAAAAATGAAAGGGAAAATACAGGTGTCTTAATTTTCTATATCTTGTTTACACAAATTAGTATTAAAAACGTTTTTAGTTTGAAATATGAGTGAGCCTTCTTGCATGTATCTGTGAATGTGTATCAGTACTTTAAGTAGGGAAAAAAGTAGCACTGAGTCCACTGAATCGCAAGTCTGTAAAATAGCATGTTGGCTGATTTCGATCCCCAGTACCAAAAAAAAAAAACCAGCGTGTTGGAATCAGTAGTATCGTTCTCTGTTCCAGCAGTTATGTGTGGAAGTGTTTAATTGTGAAAGTATAGTTTCTCATTGATTCAGCATTTTTCATGCAGTTACAAAGAAGATGATGACTTTGAAACTGACTCAGATGATCTCATTGAGATGACTGGAGAAGGAATTGATGAACAGCCGGATAATAGTGAAACTATTGAAAAGGTCTTAGACTCCAGACTGGGAAAGAAAGGAGGTACGTGTGTTTGGGGAGCAAAAGACTTCTTTTATATCTGCTCAGTAAGGCTCAGATTTTATGCATTTTAATAAGCTGATGAATGTTAGTCAACATTTAATTTGTTCTGAAAAGTGGAATTCTGTCCTAATTGTCATGTTCAAGAACCGAGGACAAAGGAATGGATCTGCCTTTGAGATTTTAAGTGAAACTAGTATAGTGTTAATGTTTATAAAGCAGTGATATAGTAGAGATATTTGCTCAGTGAGCAAATCTGGGTCTAGTTCTTTCTGAATGTCCTCGTAAAAATATTGAAGTGGTTAAATACATATATGGATAATAGTTTTTAAAATGTAGTTGATGCCAGACAAGGTGGGGCACACTTATAATCCTAGCGCTCAGGAATCAGAATTGCCATGAGTTTGAGGTCAGCCTGGGCTACATAGGGAGTTCAAGGCCAGCCTGGACTGCATAGTGAGACCCTGTCTCAAAGAAAAAAAAGAAAAGAAATAGGTGTTTGAGATACTTAATAACTTAGTTGCTTTAAAGTAACCTTTTCATAAAAGAAATATCAAAATATTACTTAATAGCTTCATTTTTGGCCACTTATTCTGGTTTCATTTGAGGTAAAAGTTAACAGAACTTAGGGAGGGTGGGTAAGTGAGGGGAGGTTTTTCTTCTTTTCTTTTAGATAGGATTTCACTCTGGCCTAGAGCTCATGGTCCTCCTCCCTCAGACAGGTACTGTGTTGGGTTCATAGGTATGAACCATGTCATCTGGCAAGCTCGGAGGGCACTTTGATCGTGTATTCTCCTGCAGTCCTGGGAAAGAGGGATTTCGTTGCTGAATAATTAGGGACCAAAACATAGGCTGTTGCTGCTCTATTTTTATTATGTTTTGACAGGATTTCTTTGATTTCATCTGCAAATTTCGCACAAATGTTAAAATTGGGTTGGTAGTTTGAAAACACATGAGATTATTGATTGAATTCATACTATGTTGTGAGTTTGTGCTTATTTCAAGTCACAGTTTTTGGTGGTTCACCCAGAAAGACTCTTTACACAGTTGCTTCTTTGGGAAGCTTTTCAGTGTCTGGTTTCATAGCTGCTTCTAAAGTGTACTGAATTCTTCTGCAGCCACTGGAGCGTCCACTACAGTGTATGCTGTTGAAGCTAATGGAGACCCGAGTGGCAGCTTTGATTCTGGGAAGGATGACGGTGAAATCCAGTACCTCATCAAGTGGAAGGGGTGGTCTTACATCCACAGCACATGGGAGAGTGAAGAATCCTTACAGCAGCAGAAAGTGAAGGGCCTCAAAAAGCTAGAGAACTTCAAAAAGAAAGAGGATGAAATCAAACAATGGTACGTCTTCCATCATGAATTCCAGAGCTCTTTCTATCCTAGGGAAGGGAAGGTTCTAAAATAATGCACGGAGAATACAGCTACTTAAGGTCTTAGATTTTTTTGCCTTGATCATCTGGACATGGAGCCATGTACAGTTCTACTTGTAAAATTATGATCTGAAGACACTGTGTATTTTTGTCTGGCTACTAAGTTTTTAGAATTATCACCTAGCTCAGTGAGCACTGTTCACCCATCATCCCTTCAGTCCTCACAGCAGAGGAGTAAGAGTTGTAATGTTCTTACCCTGTTTTGTAGATGGGAAGAATGAGGCACAGAGAAACTCTGCAAGTAAACCCAGGGCCTGAATTTTGGCCCTTGAGTCAAGCCCATTCCTTAAAGTACCTTGTTATTTTCCTATGGGAAGGCTGGCATGCTTTCAGTGTAAAGAGATGATATTGTAGAACTCTGGATTATGTATACTTATAACTAATCCTAGTTTTACCAATCGACAGGAATTATGTGAGAGTGTTTTAAAGAAAATTGGCTGAATTATAAAAACTACTAAAGGGACAGATGCCTTGGGTTTTTACTCTGATATGTGTATATAGATCTCTAGAATCTAATTGATATATGCTTTTTTCTCTTTTCTGTTCAGGTTAGGGAAAGTTTCTCCTGAAGATGTGGAATATTTCAATTGCCAACAGGAGCTGGCCTCAGAATTGAATAAACAGTATCAGATAGTAGAGAGAGTAATAGGTAAGTACATGGAAACTCAGCCATGTTTAAACTCAAAAGAATAAGCACTTGCTGTTAGGAAAAAAGAAATTAAAAAATGTATTTGGAGGTCTCCTTTTTGAGACCAGACAGACAGCTAGATTTATTTTGAAGAAAAAGCTAACAAGATGCACTCATAAATTTGTGTCTGAAGGTGACAAAAAGAGGTGACAAAGTGGTGGTGGGGTTATTGGCTTGGACATAATGTATACAGGAGAGTAGAGTGCCTTTTTTTTTTTTTGGTACTGGGGCTCAAACTCGGGTCCTTGCGCTTGCGCAACAGGCGGCAAAACCACTGAGCTAAATCCCCGGTTGCCTTTTACTGAAAAGGAAAGATGAAGGGAGGATCTGATTTGAGGTGTTGTACTCAAGAACTTAGTGTGATACTTTAGTCACCTAAGGGAGAGTATTTTGAAGGCTGGAACATAGGTAAGCTGGAATTTAGAACTTTTAGTCTGGGTTAGAGGTTTAAATTTGAGTATTTGGTAGTGGGTAGGTAGTATTTCAAGCCTCAGGTTTAATAAGATTCTGCGAAATAAAATACACATGGTGAGAAGATGAAGCCGGAGAGAGAACACACCATTGTATGGGAGTTTGAGGGAAGCAAGTGGAGCAGGTAGAGAAGGATCATCTGGTGAATACAGGCACGCCGAGGGGGATGCCGGACTGGAAGCCTGGTGGCCACCTGTGCTGCGGTGGAAGGAATCTGTTAGTCAGGGCCGATGAGTATGGCCTAGTGAAACGGACCCACGTGATGGTGGGGTGCAGACCTGATTGGGGTGGGCCCAAGAGTTAATGAGGGGGTACCAAGAGAGTCATGGGGGGAATTTTACTTTAAAAGAGAACATAGAAATGGGGTGATAGCCTGAGAGGGTGGTGAGTGAGAACAAGACTATTTTGAGACAGGGTTTCATTTCATAGTCCAGGCTGGCCTTCACCTTGCTGTGTAATAGCCCAGTAGGCCAGGCTAACTTCATACTCGTGATCTTGCTGACTTAGGCATGCATAGTACCACCATGCCCCTCTGAGAATAAGACTTGACTGTTGTTTTGGTGGTACTGGGGATTGAACCCAAGGCCTTCACGTTGAGCTACATCCCCAGTCCTTTTTTATTTTATTAAATTTTGAGGCAGTGTGCTGGGGATTTAGCTCAGTGGTTTTGCCACCTGCTGCGCAAGCACAAGGACCGAGTTCGATCCCTGATGCCAAAAAAAAAAAAAAAAATTTGAGGCAGTGTCTTGCTAAATTGACCATACTTGACTTGAACTTGGAGTTCTCCTGTCTCAGCCTTCCAGAATGCTGGCATTACAAGTGTGCACCCCCACACTTGGTCAGAAAGAAGTCTTTTTTCGGTCGTACTGGGTAGCTGGCCACTCCCACCATCACCCTGCAAATCACAACTTATGCAGGAGAAAGATTGTACCCAGGGGGCTGGGGATTTAGCTCAGTGGTTCCGGTGCTTACCTTGCAAGCGCCAGGTCCTGAGTTCGATCCCCGGTACTCCCCCCCAAAAAAGATTGTATCCAGGGAGTGCTGAGCTACATATCCCTAACCCCCCACCCCCTTTTTGGTACCAGGGATCAAACTCTGGACCTTGCGCTTGCAAGGGAGGTGGGTGGCGGCACCACTGAGCTAAATCCCCAGCCCCCTAACTCTTTTTATTCTGACTTATTATCTGTACTCCAGGACCTGCAGGTTATGTAAAGAATTTTTTTTAAAATCAATACTGTACATTTTCTTTTTATTTGTCATTACTGGAGGTTGAACCCAGGGCCTTCACACTGACAGCCTCAGCCACTTTTTAATTTTTTATTTGAGGCATGGTATTATTAATGTACCCAGGCTAGTGTTGAACTTGGAAATCTTCCTGCCTCAGCCTCTCAAAGTGTTGAGATTATAGGTCTGTGGCACAGGGCTGGCCACAAGTTTTTTTTTTTTAAAGATGTGATATAGTAAATTACACTTGTGTTCTTATTGATAAAAACTTTTCCTCATTTTACTTGCTATGGTTGTAACTTTTTTGTCTTATTTTGGATTTGTTTAGCGGTGAAGACAAGCAAATCTACATTGGGCCAAACAGATTTTCCAGGTAAGCAAGAGATCTTGTTTATAAATGTTCAGCATTTAACAGCACTTCATGCTTTACCAATTACTTGCAGCCTTTGCCACCTGGTATTTCACTGGGTATGCCTTTAACAGTTGTTGATCTTTTATGTATATGGTACAGCTCACAGCCGGAAGCCAGCGCCTTCCAATGAACCTGAGTATCTATGCAAATGGATGGGACTGCCCTATTCAGAGTGCAGCTGGGAAGATGAAGCTCTGATTGGAAAGAAATTCCACAGCTGTATTGACAGCTTCCACAGTCGGAACAACTCAAAAACCATACCAACAAGAGAATGCAAGGTGCAGTGGTTGTTAGCTCTGGGTTTTCAGGGAAAGGATTAGTCACATGGATAAAGAGAGGAGAAAATATTTCAAGAGTTAGATGATGATTTCTATTTTGAAGTGAAAAAAGATTTAAATGTGACCATAAAGAAAAATAATTATAGCAAAAGGAAAGGATGAGTTGCAAGATGGCTGTCTTAGTTACCTTTTTTGTTGCTGAGCCAAACTACCCTACACCCAAAGTTAAAGGAGGAAAGGTTTATTTGGCTCAGTTGGTAGAGGTTTCAGCCCAAGTCAGGTGGCATGGCAGAGGGACATCACAGAGAAACAGTTCATGGCAGCCAGAGGCAGCGAGCAGCAAGCGACATTAGCCCTTTTTCTGTTCCTTATATTTTATCCAGGCTACCCGCCCTTAAGCACTCACATTGGTGGTTGAGCACCCCTAATCCTACCCAAAACTATGCCAAACTGGTCAGTGGGCTGAGTAATGACACACCCTTAATCCCAGCATCACACACTCTAGGTCAGCCATCTCTGAAAAGGCCCATCCATGACAGCATGAGGCCATAAGAATGACTCTGCTGATTTCTTTAATTTTGTAATTCGTAGAAGTAGGTATATTAGGGTAATATTTAAAGATTAAACACTTTAGATGAGGGGACAGGTAAAGGGATGTCTGAATTGTAAGGTAGAAACAAAATATACCATCCTTTTTGTTTGCTAAGTTGGTTGTTCAGGTGGAATTTATTTCATTTGGAGGGGGTAGGCATGGGTCCTCAGAATGGTAAATGTATATGTGATACATGCGCTCTGTTTCTGAGAAGTTGACGTTCATGTTAACAGCACCAAACTTGTGTCTGTAAAAACCAGTGTGACTGATTGCAAGTCAGGTTGAGTTCAATAGTGAGTCTGTGGCCAGAGAAGTCCTGAGGTGTGGAAGTCAGTGAGCTCTGTGCCATTGGAGGGGTTTCAGGAGAGAGTTTTCATGTTGGAACTGGCCTGAGAAGAGTGGATTGGTGTATGATGGAGAGACAAGATGGGGCCCATGGGACTGCTCTCCCATGAAAGGTTCCAAGAGAAAATTTTTATAGTAGAAAGGTACTAAGAGAAAAACTTCTGTAGTGTAGATCCCAGGCTTGAAAAGGGAGATGATACTGGTGAGTATATTTAGGTGAAAATATCTGTGCCTTGACTACCTTGAAGGAAGGGCAATTTGCTTTTGTTCTGTGGGTACTGGTGGTACCCACTGAATAGAGCAGCAGGGTGAAAGCAACATTTTATTTAGAAAGCCTCATCCAATGGCTGTGTGTAGGGGACTCGAGCCTGAAGGTCCACCCATCCAGTCAGATGTCATCGAAGGTCATGAATGAAGAGTTAGTGTGCGGGAAACGGAAGTATTGGCATGGATGGGTGAACCATTTTGTTGCAGGTTTGGCAGGAGTGGATGGATGGGTTGTGTTTGGGAGTGCGAGTGAGAAGTCAGCTTCTGTTCACTGCCGGTTCTCTTACGTAGGAAGCTGAAATTCTCCATGACCTTATCAGTTAGTGTTAGGGTCACATTTCTCATGACAGGCTCCTTAGAGTATTCCTCTTCAGAGAAATGTTCCCTGAAGAAAGACTTGTGATGGATTATTCCTGAATAAATTTCTCTTGTACATTCACATTATAGACACACATGATTAAATTTTGAAAAGTCATAATTAAGAAATTTATATAACTTTTGATCCATTGTTTTCCAAACTGTTTTGTTCGCTAAATCCACATTATGCAAACAATGAGATTTAGTCTTACTACAGTGCTATTCTTCAAACGTTGGCAATGAAAACAGCAACTTTTCCTTCAGAAAATCAAATTCACATAATTGGGGGCCTTAAGGTAGCGGACTACCTGTCAGAATTTATAAATCCTTGGGCCGGGGATTTAGCTCAGTGGTTTCGCTGCCTGCTGCGCAAGCACAACGACCCGAGTTCGATCCCCAGTGTCAAAAAAAAAAAAAATCTAGAATTTATAAATCCTTTTGTAATTATAGGATCATAAGGTTATCCGTTTAGCTGCATTTAGGGTATGACAGACTTTCCTAGAGATACTTGATTTTTTTGAGATTTGTAGTCTAAGCTGGCTTTGGACTCACTAGTTAGCCCAGGCTATCCTCAAACTCATGGTCTTGTGCCTCAGCCTCCCAAGGTGCAGTGCCCTGCTCTGCCTGTTGTGTACTCTTTAGAATAAGACAGCATAAAGATAACTGCTGCAGTGTAGTAGGCGTGACACAGAAACCAAGGGCTCTTTAGTGTTGTCCACAAACTGATTTCAGGAAAGGAGCATTGTAACCAGAACATCTTACTTCAGTATGCACCTCAGGAACAGCGTACCAGAAAAGGGGCGCAGGTCGGAGTGGTGACTGATGTGTGTGAGCTCAATTTTTTGCTTTGACGTGGAGCATATAAATTGAGGTAGGATTTTAATTGAGGAGCAGAGAGAAAAGTTTCTCATACCTGGGCTTTGTTAATTTTTGCCTTTCAGGCCCTGAAGCAGAGGCCACGATTTGTAGCTTTAAAGAAACAGCCAGCATATTTAGGAGGAGAAAACCTGGAGCTCCGAGATTATCAGCTAGAAGGTCTCAACTGGCTTGCTCATTCCTGGTGCAAGTAGGTTAAAAATGTGTTTGGCATTGTCTTTACTGATTGTGGCCTTGGTATGGTTACCCTAATTACAAAGTACTGGGGATCCATCTAGGCCTCAAGAATTTAACAACAAACAAATATACTGTATGTATACTATAAAGAAAATTGGGTGCATTTAAGATTTATAGACATTTGTATCCTCATTCTCCCTTCAGCCACTTTGTTCTTTTCTGTATTTTTCCCCTAAAACTAGTTATTCTGTGGGAAACAATGTCGTTTTCAAATTTTTTATTTCTTCCTTTAGGGTCTATTTATTTTTTTTGGCACTGGGGATGGAACTCAGGACCTTGCGCTTTCGAGGCAGGATTAGCTAAATCCCTGGCCCTTCCTTTAGTTTTTTTTTTTTTTTAAGATTTCTTCCTGATGAATTAAATGTCTTGTTTTTCTAGTGAGTTAGTTGCCTTTAACTTGTGTTTTACTTTTAGTCCTCTCTGGTTCCCTGGTTAAGTACATAGTACATATGTGCAGACCACGGACCCCACTTATTTACTCTCAGTGGCCCTATTTTATTTATTTATTTATTTATTTGTTTGTTTATTTATTTTTTGTACCGGGGATTGAACTCGGGTCCTTGCGCTTACACAGCAGGCGGCGAAACCACTGAGCTAAATCCCCGGCCCCTCTTCAGTTTTTTTCTTACATTTGGATATTTTTTTTCTATTAATAGCCTCTTGAGATATAGCCTGTTGTTTTGGAGCAGTGTTTCTGAATCTGTGGTCAAAGAAGCACCTGCTTTTGAATCTTCAAAGGTGCTTGTTAAAAATATAGAATCCTGTGCTCTCTCCAAGATATTTACCTTCCATGGATCTCCGGTGAGGTTCTAGAAATCTGCTGTGCGGCCTGGGTCTCGTGTAGCCTGGTATATTTAGTATGAGCTCTGTGTGCCGGGCTGGGGATTTAGCTCAGTGGTTCCGGCTCCTGCCTCGAAAATGCAAGGTCCCAAGTTGGATCCCCGGTACCAAAAAAAAAACTAAACAAACAAGCTCTGTGTGCCTGCAGCACGTAGGTCTCGGGTCAGTGCAGGTGGCCTGGAAGGACCCAGTGATGTGCAGTAGAATGGGTGGGCGATTTGAACAGAGACACATGATTGGCAGGCTGCAGGAGTCAGCAGCAGTGGTGATAGCCTGTCTGCTCATGTTTTCTGTATTGATGGGCTCTAAGGTTGCACACTGTACACTTCTGTAATAAAATTTGCCTTCTCTGTTAGAGGGGATACCCTGGGGAGAAAATAGAATTCAGAGCCCTAAGTGCAAAGTGCAAAACATAGTCTGGTCAGGCTCTTACTGTAATCTGAATCTTGACTCTTACAGATGTCTTGTCATTCTGCTGTAACCCGACTTCTAGTTTCTTCCTTACATAGGAGGCTTAAATAATTGCAGATAAGGAAAATATGATTGAGACTCACACTGATGCTTTCTGTGCTGTCATTATAATTTATGTACATAGTAGTTTTTGATAAGCTAATGATTCTTTTGTTTTGACTTTTTCTGCAGAAGTAACAGTGTAATCCTTGCTGATGAAATGGGCCTAGGAAAGACCATCCAGACCATATCATTCCTCTCCTACCTGTTCCACCAACACCAGCTGTATGGACCCTTTCTTATAGTCGTCCCTTTATCCACCCTCACCTCATGGCAGAGGGAGTTTGAAATCTGGGCACCAGAGATAAACGTAGTGGTTTACATAGGTGACCTGATGAGCAGAAATACGGTGTGTAAACAAAAAGAGTTGGGGTAGAATCTGTATTATAAATGTTTCGGAAATTGATCTAAAGTCTTTGGTAGAATTATTAGTAAAGTCTTAATAAAATTATTCTGACATTATTCTGTGTCCCAAAGATTAGTAGTTTTGTATGTAATAAAAATGCCTATCAGTGATTCTTTCAAAATATGATTACTATTTATTTATTTATTTATTTTTGGGTACCAGGGATCGAACTCGGGTTCCTTGCGCTTGCAAGGCAGGTGGCAGAACCAATGAGCTGAATCCCCGGCCCAATATGATTACTATTTAAAGAAAAGTAATAGCATGGGCCGGGGATTTAGCTCAGTGGTTTTGCCGCCTGCTGTGCAAGCGCAAGGACCAGAGTTCGATCCCCGTACCAAAAAAAAAAAAAAAGAAAAGAAAAAGAAAAGGAATAGCAGGTGATGAATGGGAATCTTGCTTAGGTGGATTGCAGTATTATTTTTCCTCGCCCTCTTTGTGCTCCTAAGACCACTTTGTATAAAGATTTTAAAATGGAGTTAACACCTTGTGAAAAGTTAATATTATTGCTGTTTGAACAGAGATTAATTAAAATAATTCAGTTCTTAGAGTTTATTTCCTAGTCTCTTAAAGCAATTAAGTAGCTTAACTTACAAGAAGGAAGTAAAAGCAAAGGAAAATAATACATTTCAAGGTTGCAGAAATGAGAATTATTTGTCTTTTACTAAACTTTAATGATCATAAATTTAGTATACTGTAGTATAAATTTATCTTTGTTTAGCAAATCTTTTCTTAATGACTTTTAAAAAAGTGTTTACAATATGCCAGGCTGGTTTGTTGGGTGCTTTTATGTATGCTACCTGTAACCTTCACAATAGTCTTCAAAGATGATGGTAGTCTTGTTTGGTTTGTGATACTAGGGATTGAGCCCAGGGCCTTGCACATACTAGGCATGTGCTCTGCTGCTGAGCTACATCCCCAGTCTGTTAAAGTTGATTGCAATCTTTCCAAACCAGGATAGCTAGGATGTGGCAGAACTTGAGTTGGAGAACATAGGTATATGTGGTCCAAAGCTTTGTTCTTCTACCAATGTATATGAACATTTTTCTAGGAGATGGCTTTATAGTAAGAGCAAGCCATCAGAATCCTTAGACATTTTAGATATATGCTATAATAATAATATATTTTTATGCTTTCAAATGTATTTTTATTAAATATATTCATTAAGATTAATTCAGTTCCAAGTGTGGTGGCACATGTTTATAATGTCAGCGCTGGGAGGCTGAGGCAGTAGGATCATCCCAAGTTTGAATCCAGGATGGGCTACATAGTGAGTTTAAGGTCAACCTGGATTACAAAGACCCTGTCTCAACAACAACAACAAAAATCTAAAAGCCCTTGCCCATTTCATTACTCTAATTATGACTTTCTAGAAATATTACTAGTTAGCTTTGTTTATTCATTTATTAATCATTAAAAGATAGAAAATTTAAAAAGCCTGTAATCCCAGCACTCGGGAGGCTCAGGGCAGGAAGATTGTGAATTTGAAGCTGGCTTGAGCTGTGTAGTGAGCTCTTATCGTGAGAGAGAGACAGAGACGGAGAGAGAGAGCGAAAGAGAGAGAGAGAATTTGTTGAGTTAGAGACATTTTTGTGGTGTGCAGTACGCTTTTTCTTTGGTCTTATTTGGTCATTAACTGCAGGCACTCATTGTCTTGATCTCAGATTTTTTTTTTGTACTGGGGATCAAGATCGATGCGATCTTGATCTCTGATTTTTAACTTGAAAAACTGCAAGAACTTTGTCCTTAACTATTTTGCTTGCTTACTTTCTGGATATACTGGGATGTGTTAGTTTTTGTATTCTTTACAATGACATTTTTTAATTGTATTTTTATCTATGAGACTGTTTTTCCTTTTTCTTGGTCAGCACATCTCTCTGTTCTGTGATTAATGAAATTTCTGACCCAGCCTGAGGTTAGAACTTGTTTTTCTCCTTTAAGAAAATGTTAGGGATTTGGGAAATCTGTTTAGTTCAGGTCACCAGGGATTAATTGCTTGATAAATGCACTTTCTCAGTCAAATGTGTTTGGGGGTCAGTTTATTTGTATTTTGACAGTAAAGTTTTTACTGCTTATTCATGTTTTAGTCCTTCCTACATGTTTTGGCTACTTAAGCCATTTCAGAATGTGTAAGCTGTTCATTCAGTTCTAACCAGACTTATTTGACATGTTTCTGTTGCATTCATCACAAGACTTCTGTGATACGAGAAAATAGAAGTAGACATTGTGTCTCAGTTACATTTTCTTTTACAGATACGGGAGTATGAGTGGATTCATTCCCAAACCAAGAGGCTGAAGTTCAATGCACTTATAACCACATATGAGATTCTTTTAAAAGACAAGGTGTGTAATTTGTTAACTATACTCAATCTTAGCCAAAAAGCTGAGAAGCAATGTAATTTGTTAACTAAAAGGCCACATCTCGTCCAGTGACTTGTTTCAAACAGTAAGGGTTGTGCCTTCCACTTGCCATGTTATTTTTCTTTCTTTGTTTAAAAAGAGCACACGAACAAACAGATTCCTCAAAGAATGTTGAAATTAGAACTCGAAACAAAACCTTGCAACTACAAAGGAATTTAGGTTGCCTTGTCCAGTTGAATCTTGGGAAAGGGTATGAGGCAAGTGACCGCCCGAGATGATAGTCCCTGGAATCGGCTGGAACACCCTCTGGTGCGTTGCCCGCTACATCATTGTCGAAGCCTTACTCTACACCAGTTGATGTGCATAGTCTCTGAAAAATTCAGCTTTTTAAGTATACCCCTTCTACAGTTACTAAGAAATATATCTGGTGAATAATAAGTGCAAACAAGTTTAATTTGGTGGTTCTTGGTATTTCTGTGCTTCAGGGCATAGACAAGAAAAGAAACTTAATTAAAGGCAATGTCTTTTTTTTTGTTGTTGTTCAACTTTTCAGTGTTTGTGTTCTTTTTTGGGGCATGCAGTATGCAGTAATAGCTGGTGTAAGAGACCAGCTCTTTCGAGTAGATACCAATCTGGCAACTACTGGAATAAACAGAAGAAACCTAATATATATATTAAGTCAGTAAAGAATAAATGTGACTCTTTATACCTCTGTGATGGTATTTGTGCAAAGTTAATTAACTCTTGAAAGCACTTTGGGTTCCTTCTGACCTGGTGGCTCGTTCTGTTTTGTTTTCACTTTAGACTGTGCTGGGCAGTATTAACTGGGCCTTTCTGGGAGTGGATGAAGCCCATCGGTTGAAGAATGATGACTCTTTATTGTATAAAACTCTGATTGATTTCAAGTCCAACCATAGGCTCCTGATTACGGGCACCCCTCTTCAGAATTCCCTCAAGGAGCTCTGGTCCTTGCTGCACTTTATTATGCCGGAGAAGTAAGCTCCTTCCTGTGTATTTCAAGAGATGCTAAAATGTTTGAAATGCCAGTGATTTTTTTAAACTTTCTTAATAGACCTCAGGGAAAACAGATGGACTGGTTTGGGGAAAGAAAACATTAAACTTTGGAAGGAACAACAGAATAAAGTCATTCATAATAAGTAATAACAGGCACAGAAATCAGCCTATTAAGGAGGAAGGCATATTACTACCAAAAATTTGAGTTAGTTAAGACATTTGGGAAATAATTGCTAGATGGGAGGCATCATTTTTACTCTTGTTACAGGGTAGTCAATATAATTGAGATGAAGTGAGTAATGCAGTCTGATAACCATTTATGTATACTTTAAATCCACATTTTTGAATACAGAAACATCACCTTGTTAGGTCCTACTCAAATCACTATTAAACTGTGGAATGTCTTTTGGAAAGATTTTTGGTTTTTTTCGTACCAGTGATTGAACTCGGGACCTTATGCTTTCGAGGCAGGTGGTGGAACCACTGAGCTAAATCCCTGGCCCCTTTTGGAAAGATTTTTATAGAAGAAATAATATGCCCATTTCATAAGACTTAGAACTATCCAGTAGGGTCCAGTGATACTTAGAGTGCAATCTAAATTTACCAGTTGGGCTGACCCTGCTCAGTCTGACAGCTTGACAAGATTTTGACTTGTACCACATGTCATTACGTGTCAACCACTCCACTGTCTTTCTCTCTCTTAAACATGCTAAGTCTCTGTGTTTTGACTTGGATTTCCATAACTGCTAATGATACTGAACATACTTTCATTTTATTAGCTATTAGTCTACGGTAAAGTGTCTTTGTGATTTCAAAAATTGGATTTTTATTATGAATTGAAGAATATTACTTTTTTTTGTGTGTGTGTGTGTGGTACTGGGGATCGAACCTGGGTCCTTGTGCTTTCGAGGCAGGCGCCGGAACCACTGAGCTAAATCCCTGGCCCGAGTATTACTTTTTTTAAATAAAGCTTTCTAGGTACAAGTGTTCTTTCAGTATATGATTAGCAATTTGTTTTGGTATTTGGCTTGTTTTTCATTTTCTTTTTTTTTTTTTGGGTGGGTGGGGGGTTTTTTTTGTACCGGGAATTGAACTCTGGTTCTTGCGCTTGCGCAGCAAGTGGTGAAACCACTGAGCTAAATCCCCAGCCCTTTGATTTTCTTAATCTTGTCTTTTGAAGTCCAAGTTTTTAACTTTGATGAAGTATAATTTATCAGTTTATTTTATTGTGCTTTGGACAATAAGACAGTTTTGCTTAACCAAAGGTCACAAAGACATTTTTATTTTTTACTTATTTTTTTTTGGCTTTTGTGAGACTGGATCTCCCTATATAGTTCAGGCTGGCCTTGAACTCACTATGTAGCTCAGTCTGGCCTTGAACTCATAGTGATCCCCCTCCCTCAGCCTCCCTAGTGCTGGGATTACAGGTGTGTCCCACTGTGCCTGGCTATTTTTATTTTATGTATATATTTTTTAAATTATTTTTCTTTTGAACAAAGACATTTTTATTTGGATAAGTTGTAGCTCTTATATTAGATCTGTGTTCCATTTTTGTTGTTTCAGGGGAATTTTGGGGGAATTGCTCTTCCCTCAGTTGTTGAATTTTTTTTTTTTTTTTTAGGGGGCGGTACAGGGGATTGAACTCAGGACCTTATGCTTGCGAGGCAGGCGGCGGAACCACTAAGCTAAATCCCCGGCCCCTGTTGAATATATTTTGTCTGTTGATTGTCTTGGTATTTTGTTGATGATCAAGTGAAGCCATAAGTGTGGCGATCTGTTTCTAGACTGTTGAATTTGTTTCATTAATGCATGTTTCTGTCTTTATGTCATTACTGTACTATTGTGATTAGTTTTATTCTAAGTTTTAAAAAATTTTTTTACTGTGTTTCAGAAACTTCATAAAATTAGAAATTCTGATTATATTTTAGGAGAAATTGTTTTCTTAATCTAATTTCATACTATACTAGAGTATAGAACAGTGATGGCAAACCTCTTAGAGCTTTTAATGGTAACAAATAACTGGCTGCGGCATGTATGCTATAGGTTGGCCACGACTGGTATAGAGCTACAATTAAGTTTTGTATATTGATCTTGTATTCTGCAGACCTCATAAACATTTTATTTCTACTTTTTTGTGTGTTGTAATGTTTTCTACCTATGATCATGTCTTCCGCACATACAGTATAGGCTGCTATTACTTTTCCACTCTAGTTGCTTTTTTATATCTTCTTGGGTTATTGTATTGGCTAAACCTCCATGTTGAATAGAATTGGTGGGTGCAGGATGTTAACTATAGATTGGTTTTGTTTTTTTGAGATAGGGTCTTGCTTTATGGCCAGGCTGGCCTGTAACTTGTGATCCTCCTGCATCTGCCTCCCAGTTGCTGAACTTAGAGGGCTCTGACACCATGCCCTGCTAGCTATGGAATTTTTGTAGATACCTTTTGATACATTTTCTCCTATTCTAGTTTTTGAGAGCTTTTGTAATGAATGGGTGTAGGTTTTTGTCAGTGCTGTTTTCGAGTCTGTTATGATGACAGATGTCCTTTATTCTACCTGTATGGTAGAGACTGTATTAATTGTTATTTAGATGTTCCACCAGACTTTCATTTCTAGCATAAATCTAATTTGTTCATGATGTTCAATCCATTTTATGTATTGCAGTATTCAGGTAGTATGTTGAAAAATATTTTTACAGGTGTGTATTTGAGACCTTTTAAGTGTGTGAGTGTGTGTGTGAGTATGAATACGAATAGATAATAGTAAAAGAGATGCCTGGCTTTATCAGGATCACAGAATGGATAGGGAAATGTTCCTTTGTTTCCTAAAAGAGTTTTAAATTTGGTGTTATTTTTTCTTTAAATATTTGATTAATTCACAAGTGTAGCCATTTGAGCCTTCAGTTTTGTTTGTGGGAAAATTTTTTAATGACCTACTTCAAGTTATAGGTTATTCACATTTTCTATATCTTCTCCAGTCAGTCTTGTTAATTTATATCTTGGGTAGAGTTTGCCAATTTCATTTAATTTTCTGATTTATATACATAAAGTTACAGTATTCCATTGTAATCTTTGTTTTCCTTGTAGTCTTAAGTTTTAAAAGATCAGTAGTGACCAAAATTGTTTTTGGTTTTGGTATTTTCTGTAATTTCTTTTTCTTGGTAAGTTCTAGTTGAAGATTTAAAAATTTTATTGATGTTTTCAAAGAACCAATCTTTGGCTTTGCTGTTTGTAAAAATCTGTTTCATTTCTCATTTTTTTTTTGGTACTGGGTATCGAACTCAGGTCCCTGTCCTTGTGGGTCAGGCGGTGGAACCACTGAGCTAAGTTCTCGTCCCCTTTTGTTTCTATTCTCATCTGTTTCCTTCATTTGATGGTTTTCATTTTCTTTTTTCCTTAAGATGCAGCTTGATTATTATTATTTTTTTAAATTCTTTTATTGGTACATTTTAGGTATACAGTACGTTTACATTTACCATTGGGTGCTTGTACCTGTACATGACGTATCTTGGTTCTTATTTTTTTCCCTATTACCTGTGGGCCCTTCACCCGCTCTACCCTTCCCTATTTACATAGATTTTGTTTCCATTTTTTTTCTTTTCATTTTCATTTTCTTTTCCATTTTTTTTCTCCTCGTAATTTTTCCTTTCCCTTCTTTCCCCTTCCCCTCTCACTTCCCCTACCCATTTGGACCTTTTCCTATTTCAAATTATCAGTTATTCATTTTAATCATTTTAATCCTTATTTACACTGTCAGTTTCTCACACTAGAGAAACTATTTGGTATTTACACATGTGTGTCCTATTTCACTTAAGAGTATGGCCTCAATATGCATCCATTTAGCTATAAATGTCTCTAGTTTCTCGTTCTTTATGGCTGAGTAGTACTCCATTTTATAAAAAAAACACATCTTCTTTATCCAGTTTCTAGTTGATGGGCATTTGGGCTGTTTCCAAGCTTTAGCTATTACAAACTGTGCTACTATAAACATGGGTGCATATATATCGCTCTGGTGTGATTCTTTTAATTCTTTGGGGAAGATACCCAGCAGGGGAATAGCTGGGTCAAATGGGACATCTAGCCCTAGTTCTTTGAGGTATCTCCATACTGATTTTCATGGTGGTTGTACCAGTCTGCACTCCCACCAACAATGGAGAAGGGTTCCTTTCTCCCCACGCCACAGCATTTGTTACTGGTTGATTTCTTGATAGCAGCCATGCAGCTTGATTATTGATTTAAGACTTTTTGTCTAAACTAGATATTTAATGGTGTAAGTGTACTTTTATGCATTGCTTTCTGTGCATCTCATACATGTTGATATCTTTTCGTTTCCATTTAGTTTCATCTATTTTGTAATTTCTCTTGTGTTTTTTCCTTAATGCATGGATGTTTTGGATGTGTGTTGTTTAATTGCCAGTCATTGTAATTAAATGTTTTGTAACTCAGTTTTGTCTTCGAGAACGCACTTTTAAATGAGTTTATTATAACATTAGATATTCTGCTATATTTTCTATCCTGGAGAATGTTCCATGTGCACTTGAAATGAATAATGAGTATTTTGTTGTGTACAGTGTTTTATAAATGTCATTAACTCAACTTTGTTATTATTCAGGTCCTTGTTTTTGCTGACTTCTTGGCTAGTTCTACCAAGTATTAAGAGTGAAATATTTGAATTTTTAAATGTAATTGTTGTATGCTTCAGTTTTTAGTTTTTCCTTTGTGTATTTTGGGTTCTGTTGTTAGGTGTATATATATTTAGAACTGTTACATGCTCATGGTGTGTTTATTGACCTTTTTATCATTATGAAATATCCCACCTTAGTTCTAGTAATAGTTTTTATTCCTTTAGTTTATTTTGTGTGATTTTGTTATAGCTCTTTACTGTTCATGGTTACTGCTGGTTATTGTTTGCTGGGTACACTGTTTTCTATCATTTTACTTTCAACCTCTTTCTTTGTGTTTAAGATGTAGTTGGATATGTCTACTTTTTTTTTTTGGTACCAGGGATCGAACTCAGGTCCTTGCGCTTGTGCAGCAGGCAGTGAAACCGCTGAGCTAAAAATCCCTGGCCCTGGATGTGCCTACTTTTATATAGACCATCAGTTTCTGCCTTTTGATTGGCATATTTATCTGTTTATATTTAATATAACTAATGATGTGGTTGGATCACTTTCTGCCATTTTCCTCTGTTTCCCATATGTCTTACATATTTTTTGTTCCCACTACTAGGTTTTCATTTTTTTCCCTTCTGAAACAGACTCTGTAGTCCAGGCTGGACTTGAACTCTTGTTCATTCTGTCTCAGCCTCTGGAGTGCCAGGATTCCAGGCATGTGCAGCCCCCAGCCTATTTCTCCTTGACTGCCTTCTTTTGTTTCAACAAATATTTTTTAGTGTGCCATTTAATTCTTCTGTTCATTAATAGTTTTATTATTTTAAAATTACTGTCTTACTGTTTTCTCTAGAGATTATGCCTCTGAATTTCCCACAGTCTTTTTCATGTTAATAATGGCTCAATTCAGGTAGAATACAGCTTTGTTTTACCTTAATTCCATTTTCATTTCTTTTCTTATGTTATAAATCTAAGAATACATTGACTTAATTGTTTCATATGGGCTTGTTTTTTTAAGAAATCTTAGAAAATTGAACAGTAAATTTATGCTATCTTTTGTTATTTCCAGTGATCTTCATCTCTTCAACCTGTGGCTTCATTCGCCATTGAGTATCACTTTCATTTAGCCCAAAGGGCTTCCTTTAGTATTTCTTGTAGGGCAGACCTGTTGGGAGCAGATTGATTTCTTTGTCATGGCTCTTCTGTTTTTACCTTTATTTGTAAAGGATAGTTTAAGATTTCAGAAGATGGGTAGGGAAAGTTCACTCTTATGGCTGTGCTGCCCTCCCTATACCTCTTACTAGAACTGGTTTAAACTCCTGC